TAGTTTGCGCTGGCGAAGTTGTTTGGTTTTGGTTTTGACAAAGTCATTGCACAAACCACTCAATTCAAACTAAACGAACCGTGTAAACTGTTTTGACATCCAAGAACAATAGAGTCGAGGTAAAAGAAGTCAAATCATTACAATAACATCTATTCAATCTCTATTTAGCAACAAAACATTAAAGGAAGAGAGATGTTGCAGTAAGAGATAAAAAGCGTGCGTCATCGTTTGCTCAAATGGACAAGTTTTATCCGTATTTTTCTACTCTGTGGTGTTTCGGGAACAGCCCCTTGTGAGGGAAAACGGTTTTGCGTTGTACCTTGGTGTTTCACTGCAGCACATACTCTGAAAATATTTACACGGGAATCGTTTTCAAAAAGTTTGGTTTCCACAGGCGAAGTTGACGTAGATCGGACAACAGACACTCTATTATTGCAAAAGACGGAGAGCTCTCCAAAAGTGAAAATGTCCAACGTAAACTGCTCAACACAGCCCAAGGATTCCGAACTCCAAAACAGTTGTAAAGGCAATGGTCAAGATCAAGTTCCTATTTCCCCAGTGGGGAAAGTCGCAGCTTTAGGTAGTTATGTTGGTAGGAGTTGAAATGTTCGTAAAACTGAGCTTCTGAATCATGTTCAGTTATTTATCAGTTAAGCTCCTCTTTCTCGTGGAAATTTATAGGCCAATAGTATCTGTGTAGTATGTAGTTATTCATTTGTTTTCTTGCTTTTTTTTAAGGCAGTGCTCTTGTTGGTATCGTTGTCTTCAAGAGAAAAGACATGCGCACCGTGACAAACCTATTTCTTCTCAACATGGCTTCTCGGACATGTTGTCCACAATCATCTCTATACCAGCGCTGCTGGCGTTAGAGATCTCGCCTCACTACTGGCCTCTTGGAGGTTTCATGTGCCGAGCATCGGAGCTGATTTCTTCGATTTCGACGTCGGTGTTTATTTACACTATGGTTGTGTTGGCCTTGGAATGGTAAATAAAAGCGAAGTGTAGTTATAACAAGAATGAGGAAGTCTTTGAGTTGCGTCCAAAGGCACTCAACATTTTTGTGTTTCGTTCGACTCCCTTTTGTTCCTTTGCTCTACTTTAGCTTACGTCTTGCCCAAGGCTCGTTACTGAGTCCCTGGGCCCTCCAAAAGCCGCGCATCTCTTCTTGCTCCCAGGCGCCTCGGTCGAAGTGGAGTTTCGCGATAGGGAGCAAAATGCAAAACTCTAATTTGGCGGGTACCAGTGATGAGACAGCTGTTGAGAGGCACCTGTTTTCGTGAACTGATTTCCCAACAACTGATAGACTTTTTATAGCGACTGCTTTTCAAGAAACCGCTGTATTGCACAATCATTTCTATTCCCGGCAGACCATACTATACATTGAAATTATAGTCACCAGAATTGCTGTAGAGATCAAGGACTGACGCGGTCTGTACCACGTAATAAGCATTTTTCTTTTTGTGATACGNCAGCTGTTGAGAGGCACCTATTTTCGGGAACTGATTTCCCAACAACTGATAGACTTTAAATAGCGACTGTTTTTCAAGAAATCGCTGTATTGCACAATCATTTCTATTCCCGGCAGACCATACTATACATTGAAATTATAGTCATCAAAATTACTGTAGAGATCAAGCACTGACGCGGTCTGTACCACGTAATAAGCATTTTTCTTTTTGTGATGCATATCGGTGAAGTTGCAGAAGCCAACAGTCATGCTCCATAATGATGCAATCAAACGTGGGTCGTTTTAGGGTGATGGGCTCCTGGCCGTATGACGATCTCTTATAGAGGGATTTTTTGCAGCCTGTACAGCTGCTAACTATTTGAAACTCAGAGAAACTGAAAATTATATTTCTTCCGCTTGAATACTTTAGATTTTTAAAAACGTCATACGACAGGATGTTTGTTCTTCATTTTTCTTGGCACTCCCCATATAGGTTTCACTAGTTTGAACTCGGTCTCTTAGTCTCTGACGGATAATAAGCGATAGAAGTCGAGAGCGAATAATCTAATTGTTTTA